TACAGTAAAATTCAATAATAAAAAGTAACATTTTTTATTCAGTACATGTACCTGGTATGAAAGGTATGTTGGTATGTTAAGGACAAGGATTTTATTTTATTTCTACTTGAAATATGTCGAGTGCTCCACATCTTATCTTGAGCATTCAACTTAAAATAATGTAAATTGGTATGCTTTAATGATTTCAAGTGCTGGACACAACATGACGAGCGCCTGTGATCATATTTTGAATAAATTTATATGTCTGCCATTCAAGATAATATGTCAAGCGCTACAGATATCATTTAGAGCTCTCAAGATCTTTAGAGTAAAACAATAATTACTCTTAGTGCGAAACTGTCTCTAATTTCTAAGGTTTTTTCCTGAAGGAAGCTCAGAAATTGTCATGAATATCACCTATGATATAAAATATCAGAAATCATAAATCTGTCGCAATTTTAGTAAAGTCAATGAGATTAAGTAAAAGGTAGAATATTCACATGTGTACCTCCTCACTGGGATACAGGTATAGCCTACAATTCCTGTCTTGTAGTAGACTTTTAATGAGAAAGGGTAGCATAGCATTAGCCTTGCCTTGTATCTATGCAAAGAAATAGCATGGCCCTGGTACAGCCTCAAAAAATATTTTATTTAGATATCTTTAGCTCGTAACAAGAAAGTATGATAACAATGCTTAGAAAAAAGACTTAAGATGGAAGCCATCTTTACCTGTTTGTGGTGATTCATTTCTCAATGATAGACAATATGCCTTTTGTCCTGATCAATACCAATTACGTATCTTTCAAGAATCTCATTGGAAATAAGTCTCTGGACTTTTATGAGCCAGCCTTGGTTATCTGAAATAAGTCTAACTGAGTGTTATTTACATCAAGGATATTTGTTTTTTCCTTACAAAACTATGCCACGTAATTTGTTTAGCTGTCATGAATGTAAATTTCATTGTGCGACTTATTAACAAATAAAAATAGAATTAATTGAGTGGAGAAATTATTTTAATCATTGCCATGAGTGGGAAGTTTGGATATAAAATATAAAATAGTTTTCATCTGGTAAGGTCATAAAAGCTGATGCTCATGGGGAAACAATGAATACCGTCTTCATTTTATTTCTAAAAGGCACATACTTTAAGTACTACTGTACAGCCAGAACACAAGACAGTGGAGTGTCAAATAATGTCGTTACATCCACTTGTATTGCGATGTCACTTGTATTGCGATGTCACTTGTATTGCGATTTCAGTGATGTCACTTGTATTGTGATGTCATTTGTATTGTGATGTCACTTGTATTGTGATATCACTTGTATTGTGATATCACTTGTATTGCGATGTCACTTGTATTGTGATGTCACTTGAATTGCAATGTCACTTGTATTGTGATGTCACTTGTATTGTGATGTCACTTGTATTGTGATGTCATTTGTATTGTGATGTCACTTGTATTGAGATTTCAGTGATGTCACTTGTATTGTGATGTCACTTGTATTGTGATGTCACTTGTATTGTGATATCACTTGTATTGCGATGTCATTTGTATTGCGATGTCACTTGTATTGCGATGTCATTTGTATTGTGATGTCACTTGAATTGCAATGTCACTTGTATTGCGATGTCACTTGTATTGTGATATCACTTGTATTGTGATGTCATTTGTATTGCGATGTCATTTGTATTGCGATGTCATTTGTATTGTGATGTCACTTGTATTGTGATGTCACTTGTATTGTGATGTCACTTGTATTGCGATGTCACTTGTATTGCGATGTCACTTGTATTGCGATGTCACTTGTATTGTGATGTCACTTGTATTGCGATGTCACTTGTATTGCGATGTCACTTGTATTGCGATGTCACTTGTATTGCGATGTCACTTGTATTGCGATGTCACTTGTATTGCGATTTCAGTGATATCACTTGTATTGCAATGTCACTTGTATTGTGATGTCACTTGTATTGCGATGTCACTTGTATTGCGATGTCATTTGTATTGTGATGTCACTTGTATTGTGATGTCACTTGTATTGCGATGTCACTTGTATTGCGATGTCATTTGTATTGTGATGTCACTTGTATTGTGATGTCACTTGTATTGTGATATCACTTGTATTGTGATGTCACTTGTATTGCAATGTCATTTGTATTGCGATGTCACTTGTTTTGTGATGTCACTTGTATTGCGATGTCATTTGTATTGTGATGTCACTTGTTTTGTGATGTCACTTGTATTGTGATGTCACTTGTATTGTGATGTCACTTGTATTGCGATGTCACTTGTATTGCGATGTCACTTGTATTGCGATGTCACTTGTATTGCGATGTCACTTGTATTGCGATGTCACTTGTATTGTGATGTCACTTGTATTGTGATGTCACTTGTATTGTGATGTCACTTGTATTGTGATGTCACTTGTATTGCGATGTCACTTGTATTGCGATGTCACTTGTATTGTGATGTCACTTGTATTGCAATGTCACTTGTATTGCGATGTCACTTGTATTGCGATGTCACTTGTATTGCGATGTCACTTGTATTGCGATGTCACTTGTATTGCAATAACATTTGTATTGCGATGTCACTTGTTTTGTGATGTCACTTGTATTGCGATGTCATTTGTATTGCGATGTCATTTGTTTTGTGATGTCACTTGTTTTGTGATGTCACTTGTATTGCGATGTCACTTGTATTGCGATGTCACTTGTTTTGTGATGTCACTTCTATTGCGATGTCATTTGTATTGCGATGTCATTTGTTTTGTGATGTCACTTGTTTTGTGATGTCACTTGTATTGCGATGTCACTTGTATTGCGATGTCACTTGTATTGCGATGTCACTTGTATTGTGATGTCACTTGTATTGCAATGTCACTTGTATTGCGATGTCACTTGTAGCGATGTCACTTGTATTGTGATGTCACTTTGTACTGTAATTTCACATTCAATGACATCTTATTGTCGTTGCCCTAACAGTAAACAGTGCTGTGTGGTTTTATGCAGATAACTACGAACTTTTCATCACAATAAAACCTTAAATTTTTCAATGGCATATACAAATATAAATTTATTTATTTAACAACAATTATGAAACAAGTTATTTCAACTTATATTAATCACTCTTGTTGGCCCAGATGTTAGCGCGCGGGGGGTCTTAGTGAGGGAGGAAACCAGAGTACCCGGAGAAAACCCACCTGGTCGGGCAGGTGACCCCAACCTTTTCACATCCGATCGGAGAATCGAACCCTGGTCGCCTTGGTGAAAGGCAAGTGCGCTATCCACTGCACCACCCGACCACCCGAATCAATGGCATCAAGGTTATACATTATGATCACATATCACTCTAGCCTATAAGTTTCTTGTCAGGTTACATACATTAAATCAAGTTATGTACACATCTTTTTCTTTTATTCAAAAAAGTAATAACATTTCAACAGAAACAAAGCAATAATCTATGTATATATGTATAATGTTCTGACAATATACAAATATGACAAGTAGTTTTGATTACTGTTGTTTTTTTGGGGGAAAAATGAACTCATGTTGTGGAAACTGTTTATGCTACAGTAACTTTTGTTGTCACAACAAATATCGTGGCTGGAGCCTGGCAGTGCGGCGTCAGTGAGATGAAACCTGTATGGTTGGAATTATGTAGGCGAAAACCCATCAACCAACCAACCAGGCGGTGCTGGGACGAGGGGGAGGGGTTGGGCAGTTGCCCCCCACATAGATATTTTCAGGTATCTGCCAATGAATGAGTGACACAGAAGCATTACAAACCCAAGCAGAAGGAACAAAAACAAATTCCCAAAGGGTAAGGGTGAATCCACATGTTTTGACTAACCCTTTCTTTTTTAAAAATAGATTTTTGTATCCGTACATATAAATTCCCAGTCCTTGTATAGCTTAAATCTATTGATATGGGGTTTTGAAGTGTATAAAAATGCTGTGTAGTTCCCCTTACAATTATGTATTCTCTTCAAACTTTTAACTTGTCATTTTTAATTAATAACAGAAATAAAAAAGGAATGGTAATAATTAATGATTTAATATACAGGAAAGTATTAGGAAACTTTATTTATTTTATCATATTGAGGAGTCAAGTTGGAAGAAGACACATTTCCAGTATAAAACTTGCCAATCTACAATTTTTTCACACCAGTTATTTTTTTTTCATTATTCCAGAAGTTTTTTTTCTGGTAAAACTTTGAGGAGGATTTTTTTTAGTTCAACGTTTATAACCAATTGTCCTGATTTAAAATTGTCATTTTTGAAAAAAGGAAATGTAATGCTTGGAAAAAGTTTTCAGAAGAAAAAGTGTTTTAAGTGAGAAGATTTTACTGTATTTGCTAACAAAACCAGAAGAGCTTATCATCAGCTACCATAGGATGTGTATAAAGCAATGTTCTCTGTAGAAGTTAACTAAAGAAAATATCATAATTTTTATTATTATACATGCATAATTAATAACCATTTCAAATGATGACAGTCAATCAATTTTTGTAATTTCTAATTAATGAAGTATTAATCTCTGTTAATAATAACAATCCAAGTAAATACGAAATGCTAGCTTCTCTCAACAGAAACATGATTTATTACATTTGTATATTTAAAATTTGAGGAAAAACAAAGTAAAGAATGAAATACATGAAAAGATAAGGGACTAAAATAATATATATTTTACACAACATTTTTTAAATGTCATACACGAAAAAAAAATCTGATTATGTTTCATTACTAGATTTATTTCATGTCCCGACAACTTCATTAGTACATAGCCAGAGGTGATTTAAAAGGTCTCCAACTCCGCTACATGGTAGATAATATGCGTGTAAAAGTCGGCCATAACAAGTTCGACGTGGTAACCAAATAGATATTGTATTAATATAATCAAATCCCACCGAAGTTACCAAAATATTCCACTTTCTAGCCAGCGCGAACTATAGTAGCGTACTAGTTTTGCGTTGTACGCGGATGAACATATGCCCATATCAATTGAGTGGTTCGGCCATATTGTATGCTCCGCCATTTCAAACACGGCGGCCTGTGTACGTATCGAGCTCCGAGATTTCAGTGGATTCTACCTTCCGAAGGCTACATTGTTCTCCAGGATTACGTCTAGTTCGTGTTCATTACCTACTGTGTGCAATGCGGGTTTAATATTTGTGTATCAGGTCCTGTGGAATTGTGGAGATTTCGATGGAGACCGCGGTCGAGACCAAGAAACACCAGCGATTCACGAAACGCCGGGAGAGGAAGACTACCGCGGACGGTAGTGGAGATGAGATGGACGACTCGCCGTCTCGGCCGAGCAAAGACAAACGCTCGAAGCCCAGACGTAAGAAACACAACATGATATGCGAGGAAGATATTATAGACGGATTTGCTATTATAAGTTTCAAAACCTTCGAGGATCTTGAGGTATGTAAACTATTGGTCCCAGATTATAACCGCCTCTACCGTAATCATAGCAGCATCCAGTGCGGGGGTCTATCATTTCTACCCTAATTGATTTGGGGGATTCACATGTATTTGTGCATTTCCGTTACAGTTAGGAACAATGACTCTAACAATGTATTGTCAGACATCACATTCGATGTTCATGATGTGTGTATATACCGTTACATGGCATGTGAACATATTTTTTTTCGAATTACCACTGACGAAATGGGTTGGCCAATCATTAACCCGGGCCCCAGTGTTGACACTGGCTGGGTTGGTAGCGGGCGCGGGTGTTGGTTTCACATGGCGGGGGCACCTTACAGGAAGCGATGCACGTGGGGTCGTGATGTCCCTGTAATGACCGTTATACAATAATCCACTTTTCTTTTCAGAAGTTCACACGTGTGAGTCAATCTTGAAAAATGTCTTTGTTTACCTTTTTATCTGATTGAAAGGGAATCGCATCCCCGTGTATGCCAGTTTTAAATGTCAACCAATTAGTGAAATTAATGTCAACAAATTTTGCAAATCAATAACATATTCTCAGTATTTATCAAATTTACAAATAATTAAATTTGTTTTAATCCACGAGATTCAATTAACTGTTATAATGAACATTATAAACAATGTATGACAATTGTTAGATTGAACACCAGGGATTTACTATTGGTTTATAACTATTTAATTAGTTACAATGTTTAACTTTGTTGACTGATGCACTAATTGGAGGTTATAAGGACATGAATGAGTCTCAATGATGTTCTGACACTCTTACAGTCAGTCTTTTGTGTATTGCTCCATCATTGACATTTTTTTCCTGGTGTGCGTTTCTTTTCACAGGTCCAAATCAGCTTTAAATAATTGATCTCTGTTATTTTCAGGTTAGTTGTGTAAATATGGTATTGATTATTGTTATTGTTGGTATCAATACAATATGACAGAAATTTAGCTGACTCATCGTTATTTTAAAAATTGCATGCAAAACAATTGTTATGTTTATTTTATCCAGCAAGAAAACAGTGCTGGATATCACATTCTTTTTTCCCTAAATAGAGATGAAGGAAGTTTTAAAAGTTAGGTTTTCCTCTCAAGATTATTGTTCAGGTATATTTTAAATATCTGCAATTACATTGTGATTCTGTTTCAGTGTTGTGTGATTTTTTTTTTTTTTTTTACATGTAAACGTTTTTTCTCAAGGTCTGACAGTTTGGTAATGAAATATTTGTAATACACTTTACAGGCTGTTGCAGTAGAGATAGGCACATCTGTTTATATATAATTTAGACTTGTGCTATCTCTTGAGCGAAGCACCTGTGATATGTTGTTATGAGCCACATGTATTTACTTTCCTTACAGATATGACAAACATAAAAGGCAAATAGATTTATACCTGTGTTGATGATTTTTGCGTATTTGCATTCCTCGTCTTTATTCCAACAGGTGAGTGTTTTATATATACACTATAAAATCACTTGGAAGACATTCTGTGTTATGATCTAGTATTGTATTGAGCTGAATTTTTAAATGATCTGTGGGATATATTGCTTACTTTTCTGGCTGGTGTAAAATGGCGTTATCTTACTGATTGAGCAAGGATTAGGAAGGGCAGGGGCTATGAGCCATGTATACACCTTCAAAATTGAAATGGACATTTCCAAAAACACGTTATTTGTATGAACTGGTCTGTTGAAAAATTTGGAAATAGGTTATACATAATTTATAATGTGGTTGAGCTTTCCTAGAGACAGATTAGAACATGAAAAACACACATCTATAGGTTATATAATCATTAATCAGCACTTTCTTATTGCTCAGTTGGTTTAGGGCTACAGTTTTGAGGTTCTTGGTTTGAATCCATGCAATGCCTTTGCACTAGGAATATGATGGCTAAAGAATGTGTATATCCAGGATAGACCATTAACCACTGAATGGGGACATGATATGTCAGTCCTTTGTACAAGTATGTAGATTAACAAGTCTTTCAGTTGATTCTGGACATATTCAAAAGCATTACAAACATTTTCCCTGAAATTTGAAGGTTATGAAAAATGCCTGTCTAATATATCTGACCTTTCAAACCCACGAGTCAGTATTGACTGTGACAGACAAACATACAACACGGGGTTTCTGAAGGGTGATGAAAACTAGGGACAATTTGTATGGTCGTCATCTGGATCTTGTAGGGAAATAGGCTATTTCTTTGCGATATGAACGTCAATATGTTTGGTTATGTTCATTTGAGTGCCTTGTGATTTTGTTGTCACTATATGAGTTCTTGATGCGAGGATGTGACATTACTTGGAAGATCCACGAACTCACATTGAATATCTTCAAGCTGTGACTCGCCCCCCCCCTATCTCTCTCTCTCTCTCGCACTCTCTTCCCTTGTATATATTTATGTCATTGGGAAAGGGCTTTACATAAATTGGACAACTTGTGCCCAATCCCTTTTGTATATTAGATGCAAACAAAAATATGTTCAAATCAATAACTTGGATTTCACATTGATTTATATGGCAGGTATCATCGATGAAGCAGAAGATGCTTACCCTTGTGGAACACCTGGTCTTATTCTACTATGCTACTTTTTCAAGGGTCTCTATGTAAATATATCCTGTTTTCGTGTATTGCCTTACTTTTATCGATTTTGAGTTAAGTATTCTGTTGTTTTTTTGGGGAATCAAAAATATACCCTCAAGAGTCTGCTGAAAGCCCTGGTTGGTATTTTATGACAAATTTTAAATAATTACAACTTCACTTAGTGCATAAGTCATATAAAGATGTTAATTCACAAAGTGTGAGTAGAAATGACAAATACACCTAAGTGTGTGGAGAGATAGTAAATCCAGTTTGTGTAAATGTTGGAAGATGAGGCTAGGTCGTGGGATGTACCTCCTGTTATATCTATTTGGTACAATTTATCCGTGAAGGCTTATGAAATATCATATTTTTCAATAATGATATCTGTGCGTCCTTTTCTCTAGTCTTACAGGCGTTATATCGACATAACTATGAATATTGTAACCTTTCTATTGCCTCGTTGTATAGGACAAATTGAATCAGCTGATTTGCATACATTACTATGTGTATATGTCACAGATGAGTGGTTGAAAGATGCTGAAGAGATTTTGAACCCTAAAACCTCTCACTAATGCATCGTAATTGGCAAAAAACTAGCTGTTTCTTTTGGTGAAACATCCATGTGTGGTTGGTATATATATATATAATTTGAAGAAAAGATTATATCTCCCATCATATTAATTATGATTTTGTAATAACCGGTAATACCTGCTTTACATCTGTATATATAGATTCCTATCATTAAAGTAGCGATCAGAAGTTGGTGGTCGCTTGTATCGAGCTGTTGATTAGCTGCTATAGAACACGATTGACGAAAGATATGTATACATGGCATTGAGGAAGGGAAGATTAATTGTAGGTATTACATTTTTACGTAGACACAAGGTCACACTGACAGATAATGTATCATCAGTTTTATTGTGTCCATTATAATTATCTCCACATCATAACAGACATGTTCAATTTAGGCTGTAAAAAGTAGGTCCGATTTCAGTGTAAAGGATGCAGAAGTGACACAAAATGATGTTCAGACCATACGGGCGGTTTCAACCTTGGCTTGTTAACATATTGTCATACCAGGTCATGTAATAAAGGATATGACAATATGTTTAAAAAAATTGAAATTAACTTGATACACTTCATTATATATTAGTTTACATAATACTGTTGGTTAAAGGTAAAAAAGATGTACATAAAAAATATAGTTTGAAATGGATGTTGGATACATATATTTTTTGACCTAGGCAAAACAACTCAAAAACAGATTGTTTATATCATTTACACGATTGGCTGATGGCATCTCAACACAGGAAGTTGTGTTCAAGGAAGATAACTGTAAAATGTTAAAACACATCAACATTTGCACTGTCTTTACTAGTGGGTATTACCAAACTTCAATGCCCATCAAGTATATTTTAAATGTTTGAATTACCACTAATGCTGATAGAGGCAGATTAGGCTGTCTAAACAGTGAAAATCAGACTGAAGACAGGAAGTCTTGTTCAGGAGAGATAACTCTAATTTACAGGAAATCATTGAAATGCTATCTTTGCCATTGACAGGCCTGTTATAATAATGTACTAAGTATGTTTGGACCTGCCTCAGATTGTTTACATGTGTAAAACTGAGAAAGTCAGTAGTGTAGAGATGGTGTAGGGCTGTAAGCTGAGATTAAGTTGAGCAAAGAAAGTGTTGTGTTTGCTGGCATGGGTAGGCTGTGTCAATATTGAATTATGTGGTATTGGAGATGTCTGTTGACGCTTCAAAATCTTGTTAGAATTACAGCCAGGAGGTGGAGTTCAAGTCACTGTAGTCATATTTCTCTGTGAATCCAGTACACAAGATTTCTAAGTTTTGATGTTTGAAGATTGAACATTGGCTTTTTAAGTACAATCTGCATAAGTCAGTTTTACCAAGAACATTCCTACAGACAGGCTGTTAAGCCACATAGAGATGTTACAAATCTGAATTTGAAAAAGAAAACGGGAAAAAATTTGGACACGCCAAAACTTTCTTATAGAATATCCTTGACAGGTAATAGTGTATAGAAATGCTTGAATGGAACGTAAGTGCTACTGTATCATCAGAGAATGTTACAAGTGGCCAGAAAAAAAAGGACTGCTTTGTAAATTGCTTTGTCTGCAAATACACAAAAGTCAGACATGTAGACGGAATAATCTGGCCTGTGGGATTAAAACTCTGTATTGTGCCATGGTTAAGAATTAGAAGAAGAAAATAAAAACAAAATACTTCGGTAATAAAGACTGCTACACTGATATAGTAGTTAACCAATTGATAGCATTCTTTGTGTAGAACTGGTGAAGGGTTTAAATGAAATCTAGACTGATAGTTTATATAGGCCTCCGTATATCATATTGTTGTCATGTCAAAGTTTTACG